GCCATCTTGGAAATAGCGCTCGAAGAAAGTTGGGACTGCTGAGAGATATAGCACATAATATTAACAAAAGTGTAATTATGGTACCAAAGTCTTTTTTTTGCTGGCAGTTAAACTGGAGAAGAATATTCCAAAAATAAAACTAAACTTATGACCACAGAGTTAACACATACAAAAAATAGTTAACAGAGAAAAACACATTCTAATATGAGTAAACTTATTTGTATTCAGAATTTATACCACCATAACTTATTCTTCATTATATTTTAAAGAATGTATGACATCCTATCCAAAGTTATTTGTAAATTATACCAGGATTATAAGAAAATATATTCTTGAAGATGTGACAGCCTAGATCTTCTTCAGCCAACAACTAAAACTACAACTTTCTGCTTGAAAAGTCTAACTCTAGCCATGAAACATGGAATGAAAGAGATTAGCCACAGAGGACAAGCAATTGCAGGAAAAAAAGAAAAAAAAAAAGAACACAAACATGTATTATGAAAACATAACTTTGAAATGCTATCATCTGTAAAGAAAGTATCGAAATAATGAAAAAATTTGCAGATTATCCCTAACACTTACTCTGGTAATTTCTGAAGCTACAATTTTTGCAGAGTCATCTATCAAACCTCAAGCAGCAAGTACAAGCCCTTCAAATTCACACCTTCTGCAACTGCATATGAAATACAAGTAGACAAGAGCAACACAACAAGAAGAGAAGGATACCTGCTGTAAAATCAAAGAGGAATTAAAGAAAAAATATCAGGACTTGCGGAGGTATAAAGACATCTCTATTCTGGATGGATATTTCTGGATTTTGAAAAAGATCGTGAAAGCATTTTTCCTCTAACCAACCACTAAGATTATAAATTGTCAGGGAAATACAACAACATCAGAGATGTCTACAGGTTTAACCAACACTGAAACACATGTAGAAAGGGGTTGTCAGAATAAATTCACATTTCTTCAAGGTCTACAGGCCTCATACAGTCTGATTTTACCATTTCTTCCTGAAATACTCTTGCTATTGCAGAGCTCTTTCTAAAGCTAATAAATACAGGAAACTGCATATTCAACAAAACTAAATCTATTATTTCTGTATGACAGAAAAATAATTTTATGAGAAAAAGTAATACTACTTAAAATTAACTGACTCATACACTCATCACTGTTAACCTTTATTCTTCATTCAAGGCTGCTACATCAACAAGCGTATTTCTAACAGAAGCCCGCAGGCTACCAGGAGGGCTCCAAGAAACATAATCAATACCCAGAATTGGAGAATATCCCGAATTGGAAGAGACCCACCAGGATCATCAACTCCTGGTGCCACACAGGACCACCCAAAACTCAGCCTGTATGTCTGAGAGCACTGTCCAAACGCTGCTTGACCTCCAGCAGGCTCAGTGCTGTGCCCACTGCCCTGGGGATCCTGTCCCAGTGCTCGACCCCCCTCTGGGTGCAGAACCTTTCCCTAACCCCCAGCCTGACCCTCCCCTGTCCCAGCTCCATGCCGTTCCCTCGGTCCTGTTGCTGTCCCCAGAGAGCAGAGCTCAGCGCCTGCCCCTCCGCTCCCCTCCCCTCCCCTCGTGAGGGAGCTGCAGGCCGCCATGAGGCCTCCCCTCAGCCTGCTCTGCTCCGGGCTGGACAAACCAAGGGACTTCAGTCACTCTTTGTATGTCTTGCCCACACATTTTACAACAACACTGTCTTTGTTTCCAAGTATCTTTCCTTGTCCCAGAGAGAATAAAAATGAATGCAAAGTATGTTTCAAAATCACACAGGGTTTTGAGATATATATATATATATACACATATATATATTTTTTTTTTTATTTTTTTTTAAAGATGCCTTAGTATAGCTCTCAATATACTGAATAGATACAATCAGATGAAACTAATCAAACTTTTTTTTTTTTTACGGGTTCAGGAAGAGTATTCATTTTGTATGAGTTCAGGAATAATGCTTTAACTATTCAGATGACAGTTTCTGCAGCAGTTCAGAAATTTGTTGTACTCTCTGAGGAGAATTAAAGTGGCTTGTCCTTTACCATACATGTCCTTCACAAATGTACTTAAAAGCACCTCCTTTTTATGTACTACCTTGTTGTTGTTACATAACCAGAATGTTTTCTGAGCTCCCCACAAGCGAGAAAAATCTTTGCTAAAAGATTTTGTTTTGAAAAATCTCCATAAAAGCTGTATCTGTTTTTCCACTGAAGATTGCCTATTTAATCCATAGAATGGAAACGTATGTCACACCTCACATTTTCTCTACATGTTACTTGGATCCTGATTCATTTGTAATTCATTTTTGCTGGAGCACGCTCCCCAGACAGTTAACATGGCTTACAGTAGTACCTACCCTACATTTCTAAACTTAAATAACAGGACCTTCCAGCACGGGGGGGGGGGTGGTATTATGTGTGCATCCAGAAGTCCACATGCATGTTTGACAATAAAGTATAAGCATATTAAGGATATGTCAGAACACACAGAAGGTCAAACTTCCATAACTAAGCGTACTGTTGACGCTGTGTTAAACAAGCAGGCATTTCGCTGTGGCAGAACAGTGCAATGTGAAAGACCGTATTACATGAAGTGGAGGATGTTAAAGGACTCCTGACATCCTGAATGTTCCTTCAACTCCTCTGCATTTGACAATGAGGATGTTAGTGTTAACAGCACAGGGAAACTGAAAAAGAAATAGGACAGTCTTACTTAAAATTGTTGTTTCACTTTATAACGTAAGTTAAAAATGTAGAGTTTTCTTTCGGCCTATTTCACACCTACGTAGTGATCCCTACAAACCAAGCACTAGGTTTAGAAGCCTACAGCGTCAGTGGCATGACCTCAGACAAGAGACGCAGCTATACAGGTCTTCATCACTATTTGCTTCTAACACGTAGCTTAATATGCTTACTCTCTCACAAACAATTAACAGACGTGAGAATGAGCTTGTGTAGATAAATGCACCCTTTCAGTTACCCTGGGTAAGTCTGAATGCTCGAGTACTGAACTGTTTGGTGCAGAACACTAGAACAATTACAGCTGGTAAATCCATCTTCTGTACAGAGCATGATGAGTACAACATTTATTTTTACACACAACAGAGTCTTTTGCCTAGCACTAGCACTTCCACCAGCAAGAATAATTCACTCTTTGAGTCTGTTTTTTTGTTCATTAAAAATAGCTGGTGGGCTAACACTTTCAAACACAAACAGAAAACAAAGTCACAATATTAAGAATATGTTTTGAACTCTAAAAAACAGTCTGATAAAGCAGAGAATAATCATCTGCTTCTGTAGAAGCTGTAACAATTCCAATTAGTAATTACAAAGTGTGTTTACTCATATTCCCTCCAGAAGGTATATTTAAATATTTTCTTTACTATTAATGAGAGCTTTCAGTTACTAGCATAAATTCTTGTTACAATACTACCTTGTACTGTAACATTATGTCTCTTTAGATTCATTTTTGACTGAGACTAAAGGGAGAAAGTGCGAGAAACAGAAGCCAATTTTAGAGCAACAAGTTTCCTGGGCCTATTACAACTAGATCATTTTGGCCTTGTCACAGTATAGGGCAAAGCTCCAAGTAAACAAGGCTACCTCTACCAGTGAAACATGTACGTATAGTTTGAACACTAAAAGCAACGTCTCCCAAACTTCCCAAAACACACACATTTGCTTCACAATGATAGAAAACTAATCTAAGAAACCAGTGCAATTATCAAAAATTAGCTTTTTTTAAAAAACCTGACTGAGAGCTTCGAAACGTTTAGTTAACGAAGTATATTTGAAAGTTTTCCTCACTTAATTGAGGATTCAAGATTGTTCTTCCCTTTAAGATCTAATATTTACAACGCTTTCTATAGTAATTTAATTTTCAAAAAAATTGTCCAAAAAAGTTTAAATACATTTTCAGCCCCACACCTCTACAGTTAATAGAGTCAAGGCTTCATACTACACACTTTTAACACAAAGTTCTCAAATCTTAACCACATTCTACTCCTAGCCAAGACCTAAACTATTAAGCTCAGGAGAGGCATTCTTGTGTCAGATACTGAACTACTGTAGCAACTACAGCTACAACCAGAGTGCACGGCAGTTTCCCACAATCCAACTTGCAGCTAATGCATTTTGCTGTCTCACAGGCTGGCAAGTGTGTTTGACTGGCAACGTTCTTTTGGTCCTCCCCCTGCTTTATTTTCCAGGACCTTACTCAAAACAGAGGATTAAAAGAGAACTTTTCTTGGTTTTAAGCAAAGAATGATGTTTTAAATCCTTGGAGGTTTCTAAACACATGCTCCAGTGAGACACTTTGCCGTCTCCCTCTGTCACGCTGTTCGACGAAACGAGCTCTTCCTCCAGTTTTAGCTGCCCTCCTTGATTGCTTTAAACAGAGGTGGAAGAGCTAAGCTTCACACAACCAGGCACACTGTACCAGAGCTTTCCACAGCTTTGCTGCCACGTGCAAGGCTGCTGCAGACACCTCCAGAAGCTGAACTCACCACGCCACTGGAGAGAAGGCCACGAGGATGTCCGTACTTGGCTATGTGCGGCAGCGAGCCACCCAGACAAGTGACAAGGCGCTCTCAGGTCCCCCCCCCCCCCTTCCTCTCAGGGCCCTGCATTTCCCTGGAGACTCCCCAGCAAAGCCTCAGCTGCGGCCACACCGCCTGCTCGCCCCCTCCCCAGCCTGGCAGGCAGGGAGGAGCCGTGCAAGCCGTGCCACCTGCCAACTCGAGAGGCCAGCTTATAGCAACCCCCCCCCCCAATACACACACACACACACACAACCTATCATCCGCCCCCCCCCCCCCCAGCGGCTTCACCCCCACCACCACAACCCCCCCGGCCGCCGTTGGGCGCTCGGGCCCGGTCCCCGCCGCTCCTCGGCGTGCCCGGTGCGGCCCCTCACCCCCACAACGCCTCGCCGTGAGGGGAGCGAGCCGCGACCCCCCCACACACACTCACACACCGCCCCCCGCCGCCTCACCGTCTCCTCGGGGTCGATGTCGATGCGGAAGGTCTGCTGCTGCAGCGTCTTCAGCGTGATCTGCATGGCGGCGGCGGGCCGCCCGGCAGCCGAGCCGAGCCGAGCCGAGCCGAGCCGAGCCTTCCCCCTCCTCCTCCTCCTCCTCCCCTGGCGGAGGAGCGGCGTGAGGCGGCGCTAACGGCTGCGAGCGGCGGTTGAACGCCGTTGGGGCGGGGGGGGATAGGGGGGGTAACGGTAACCGGGGGGCGGGGGGCGCCGCGGCCGAGGCGGGAGGGAGGGAGGGAGGGAGGGAGCGGGGCGGAGTGCGCCTGCGCAGTGTGTTGCTGGGAAGATCGGGGGGGAGGGAGCGGGGAGGGCGTTGCGCGTGCGCAGTTGGCCCGGCTGGGTGGTGCCGGGGTTTGCCCGCCGCGGGTGGCGCATGCGCGGTGGGTGGCGGCGGTTGGCGGCGGCGGTTGGCGTGAGGAGAACGGGCGGCGTCGTGTGCGTGAGGGGGCGGTGGAGGATGCGCTGCTCCCTGGGCTGCGCTGTCCTCAGAAGCGGGCTGGGTCTTCTCTCCGCAGGTGTTACTGCCGCTGTTTGTGAGGTGTTAGTGAGGCTTTCCAGAAGTTTCCGTCGTCTTGTCAGCGTTAGCCCCCCACCTTAACTTCGTCCCCGCGCGCGCAGACCCCCAGCCCGGGTGAGCGGATCCCTCCCAGTGGTGGCAAGAAAGGGACGGTGCAGTGCCTGAACTCTGCCAGCGCCACTTTTAATGGTTACTGCTTCCATGCCACGGGCTGTTAATCTGTTTCCCTAATGTTCCTCAGGCAGTGAAGAGAACCCAGCCACAAGGAATGCTTAAAGTTGAGGCAGCTACACAGGTAAACAGAGGTAACGGCCCTGATCTCTCTGAGGCAATTGGCTCCAGGGCAAACACATTCTGGGCAGGGTGAGCAGGGAGGACCCCTCACCGCTCTTTTGCAGCAGTTTTTCAGCTTGTAACCTGCTCGCAAAGAGCCCAGCCATGGTATTCACCCCGCAGAAAGCCATGGCCTCCGTACCTCTCATGGCCTCTCCAGCCCCAGCTAGCGACGTGGCGACCCAGATGGAGGTCTCGGGGAAACGCAGCCATCCTGCTCTTGGGCTGCAGGCTGTGCCCGAGTCTTCTGTCAGTGTCTGACAGCAGTAGCGCTGGGTATGCCTGTGGGAGATGTGCCCAGGCTGAAGAATTGCTCAGCCTGGTGGCTGAGCTTTGCGAGGAGGTGAGTAGGCTCAGGAGCATCAGGGAATCAGAGAGGCAAATTGACTGGTAGAAGCATACTTTACCTTCTCTAAGACGAACCCTCAAACCTGCCACAGAACAAATGTCTCCTGCTACACAGAGACAAAAGTTTCTTCATCCCACCAGGCAGCAGAAGGGGACCTAGGCCAAGAGGGGCAATGGAAGCAGGTTTCTGTTCAGCATGGTAGGTGAGCCCTCTCCCTGCCCACCTCACCTCACCTGCCCATCTACCCTTATATAACAGGTATGAGGCTCTAGAACTTGACAGTCAAAACAACATTGTAGATGAAAGCCTGTCCCAGTTGGAGAGGGTGCCTAAGGCAAGGCAACCTACCCCCTGCATTTCTACATCTGTCAATAAAGAAAGAAGGGTTATCATCATGAGAGACTCCCTTCTGAAAGGGTCAGAGGGCCCAATATGCCCACCAGACCCAACCCACGCGGAAGTCTTGCCTCCCTGGGGCTCGGGTGAGAGACATTGCTAAGAAAGTCACTCGCCTGGTACAGCCCACTGACTACTAGCCGTTACTGGTTTTTCAGGCTGGTAATGATGGGGTAGCAAGGAGAAGTCCAAGAGTGATCAAAACAGACTTCAGGGCTTTAGGGCAACTACTTAAAGGTTCAGGGGTACAGTTTGTGTTTGCCTCTGGCCTTCCGATAGGGGGGATCAGTGTTGACAGGCACACTTGGTGCATCAAAATGTGACTTTGAGACTGGTGCCATCAGTGAAACTTTGGGTTTGTTGATCATGGGAGGGTCTATGTGATACCAGGCCTGCTGGCACCAGATGGGATTCACCTCTCTCAGAGGGGGAAAAGGATTTTGGCCCAGCAGTTAGTGGGGCTGATAGATAGGGCTTTAAACTAGAGTCAAAAGGGGAAAGGGATGAAACCAGGCCTGCCGGTGTTGAGCTAAGGGATACGTACTAGAATCAGCGGGACTGTGGGCTAGGGAGGTCCTTTGGTCTGATCCATCTGGTGCTATGTCCAATGAAGCACATTTGAAGTGCTCCTATGCAAACACATGCAGGATGAGGAATAAAGTGGTTGAGCAAGAAGTCTTGGCCCAGTCCCACAGCTACGACATCACTGGCATACGCGGAACATGGTGGGATGAGTCCTGTGACTGGTGTGTTGCAAGGGATGGTTACAGGCTCCTCAGGAGGGACAGGCAGGGCAGGCGAGGCGGTGGGGCAGCGTTGTATGTAAAGGAGGGGCTGGACTGTGTGCAGCTTGCTGTTGGTGATGGCAAAGTTGAGAGCCTCCTGGTAAGGCTTAAGGGACAAACAAATAAAGGGGATGTCATCGTGGCAGTCTGTTACAGACCACCTGGCCAGCATGACAACACTGATGAATTAGTCTTCGAGGAACTAAGAAATGCCTCGAGATCAACTGCCCTTGTCCTTATGGGGGACTTCAAGTTGCCAGACATCAACTGGAATTACCACATGGTCAGCCCAAGCGTGTCCAGGAGGTTCCTAAAGCACCTCTCTGATACCTTCTTGGTGCAGGTGCTAAGGGAGGCAAGTAGGAAAGGTGCCCTCCTAGAGCTGTTGCTGGAGAACAGAGAGGGTCTTGTGGGAGACGTGGCAATTGGTGGCTGTCTTGGTTATAGTGACCATGGAGTGGTTGAGCTTAAAATTTTTGGTGACAGAAGGAAAACTGCCACCCAAACTTCAGCCCTGCATATGGGGAGAGCAGACCACAGGCTGCTCAGGGAACTAGTTAGCAAGGTGCATCAGGACTGATCAGTCTTTAGGCCCTGCCTCCTAAAAGTACAGGATCAGGCAATTCCAAAATATCACGAGTCAAGCAAGCGATACAGAAAGCTGTCTTGGCTGACCAGGGATCTTCTACTGGAGCTTAGGCATAAAAAGAAAGTGTATGGCTGCTGGAAGCAGGGTCAGGCAACGTGGAAGGAATACAGGGACACTGTTCGCACTTGCAAGGAGAAAATTTGTGTGGCCAAAGCCCAACTAGAGTTGAAGCTGGCCATGTCTGTGGGAGACAATAAAAAGTTTTTTTTTCAGATATGTGAACCGAAAAAGGAGGACCAAAAAAAACATAGGTCCGCTACTTGTTGGGGATGGTTACCTCACAGACAAGGACACAGGCAAAGCAGAGACATTTAATGCCTTCTTTGCCTCTGTCTTTAACACCGATGGTGGGCTTCGGGACCCCCGGTGCCCTGAGATGGAGGACCGTGATGATGGGAATGACAAACTCCCAACTCACCCTGAACATGTGCAGGATTTGCAGCTCCACCTGGATCCATACAGGTCCATGGGTGCAGATGGAATTCATCCCAGAGTGCTTAGAGAGCTGGCTGACATCATCACTGTGCCAAGCCTGCTGGAGTTTAAGAAGCATTTGGACTTAGTCACATGGTCTAAACTTTTGGGTAGAGCTGTGTGGTGCCAGGAGTTGGATTCAGTGATCCTTATGGGTCCCTTCCAACTCAGGATATTCTATGATTCTATAATTTCTTAGAGCTGTTTCCATCAGTATGTATAGGGCATTACAAAGCATTTCCGTGGTAACCATGGCTGTCTTTTCTGGCGAAAGAGGATGCAAATACTTGGTGAACATGGTAGTGTAATGTAATTGAACCCCAAATTTCTGGTTGTTATACAATGCTTTGAGAAGTTCTACTTGGCTGCTTTGTTAGTGTAATTTTTTTTCAACAAAAATCGTAGTTTAATTCGTTACCACAGTAAACTTGGCTCCACAGTAATTTCTTATGGGAAGCACAGCAGAGCAGAGGCCAGCCAGGCTGCATTGCAGTGCAAAGGAAAAGGGGGAGACACCTCTCCCTCCTGTGGAGTATGAATGTGTACATGTGTTACATGCACAGGTGGTGGTGCTGCTGCTGTCGTCATCCACCTCAGGCTCCGACACGCAGCTGCTAGCCAGCCAAAGCCTCTTAGGGCTTTCGCAATCAAAAAGAAACTGCTGACTGTTGCTAGTAGGAATCCAGTATTCTTGGCAGCACTGAGTAACTTGCTTGCATTGCAAGGAGAGCCATTCAAAAGTAGAGGCGTGAGATGAAATACCACTTGCTATTTTTTGCATGGCTGTTTACAACCAAAAAGACACTGAGTGCACACTTTCACTATTGCCTTGACACCAGATCTAGTTACATAATAATCTAATAATTATATAATAACGTAAAAGGGATTTTTAGTTTCAACTTCTCATTCAGCAGCCCAATCTATGTTGTGTAGAGCTTTGTGAGAAAATTTACTTTGTGCTGCAGAGTTGTATTGGTTTCACTACTCTTTCCTACTCAGAATATATCAAAAGTAAACTACTCATATTTTCATTTTTGTGGTTACTGGTTGTAGTGTGAAACAGTTCTGCGCAGTTTGTGGTGGGGCAAGGGTTCGTTTACATGTAGGCTGTTCAGTTCTGCTCTGACAGCTTGTGAGAGCCTTAACATTACTGGGAAGCAGCTCCAAAGGCTGTGAACTGCTAAGGATGAAGTTTTTCGTGACTGTTTATTTGAGCTTTGAGCAAAGAGAACGAAGGAAAAAAGCTGTGATTTTTGTCCCCTGGCTGAATCATACAGGAACTTAGGACAACTCATTCTGTGGTGGGTAATTGTCCCGTGTTCAAACTGGCATATCACACTTATCAAACTTTTTGTGCTGACTTGGTTGGCATGCAAGCCTCTTCTTTGCAAATAACAAAGCTCATATTGATTAGAAAGAGATGTAAAATGGAGCCTAAAAGTTAGAAAGAGATTTTGGTGGCAAATGGAAACAGTGATTATTTTTTTGTTTTTCAAAACTGGATTTTCTTTTCCAAGTAACTTGATCTCCACCATATGGTTTTGTCCTTCTCAGTTCTCTTCTGTTGCCGGTGATTCCCTAGTAATTACTGTGATGTTACTCTTTCATGTCTCCCAGATGGAGGTATATCGTTTTCATGTCTACCAAGTTACTAAGTGAAACCAAAATATGTTAGGGGAGATAATTGGAAAGTATTTGTGTCTCCAGTATACCTTTACCTACAGTCAAATTTGTTTACATAAGCCCATCGCATCTGGAAGCTGAAAAGATATGTACATGTAAGCCCCTGCAGAGACAGAGATGTTAGTCACTGCTGTCCCTTTCTGACTGGAACAGCTATACAAAGCTTAGGGTCTTGCTGGTATTTGTCTGACTGCATATACACGATGCAGAGCCTGAACTAGCTAGCAGCTGGCATCTGTGATTTCCCAGGTCTTTCTCCATCATGTTACATTTAGTGGAAAAAGAATTTGGCAGCTGAGACAGTAAACAGGACTGATACAAACCTACATACTTTAAGAGTGTGTGCAAGGTCCTGATTCTCTGAGCTACTGGCGGCCCAATAAAAAAGTATCACCATTGCTGTTGACAGACCACAGCTAGCTCCTGCTAGCTTTGTCAGGCCTAAGGAGTAGGGCCTGTTAAGCAACTTGTTATCAGAACCTGCTTTGGGAAAAGAAGCTTTGTAGTGAGTGTCTCATGTTACAGTGTGGAGTTTAAGGCAGTAGCAGAGGCCTTGAAAACATGGATGTAGTCTGAAAGAGGACGTCCAAGGATCTAAAAAAAATCACTTACATGCAGTTACCAGTCAGGATATACGGCCCTGAGCTAAGAAAAACTGCTGTAAGTATCATAAAGAGGAAAAAAAAATAAAAAAAAGGAAGAAGCTAAGCAGAAGAAAGGCTGAGCAACAGGATAACATACCTGACAACCTGGGGAAGTAACACCTTCAAACAGTGCACAGCATGAGTTCCAGCAGGCAGAGGCCTAAGGCTAAGAACTTGCTTAGAGAGTCAAAAATCTTAGGGTAAGATCTCACCACAGGGTGTGCTACACACAGCAGTCCTAAGCTGTCAGCATACTTCTGGCTTCAAGGACCCTGACTGTTACAGATCTTTAGGCACAACAGCATTATCCAGCACTGTGCAAATTGAGATCAGTGTGAGTACCTCCATGTGTTTTCACCTCAAATTCTGTGTATTTCACCTTTTTAACTGCTAAAAAGTCCCTATTGCACATTACTGCAGTCTAGCTGGTTACTCTTGGTAAAAGGCACCGTGTTTCCTCTTGGACACATATGAACAGATACTTTTATCAGTCCCTGATGCACAGCCTGGTAAAACAGTGCATTCAGTCTCTGCAATGATTTGCATTAAGTACCTAGACCCTGTTGCCTGGGTCATCACGCTGTCATAGATAACTGCATTTTATTGAGGCTGTCAATCATTATTTACATTACCATAATTTTTACAAGTCCTGGAGTAGGTGAACCATTACTTAGATTCCAGTTTGCAGGAATTGGTACAGCATAAATTAATTTACCCTTAATCTAATTTTACATGTGTTCTGGAGGTTTATTTATCTCCTGGTGGCAGCGTACTTCTTTTGCAGCAGCAATGATTTTGATGTTTCCTTGAGAGGCTTCTACTTTAGTACCCATGAAGCTGCTTCTAACCTTCCACAGTCACTCAGTTCCACTCATTTATTCTAAAGACAGCACTGAACCTGCTTCAGTGTTTGTCACAGTAGTGAAGCGCAGCTGTTCAGGTTAACTCAAGTTGTTAGACCATGAGGTAATAGGCAGTGGCCGAGGAAGCATTGGTAACTCTCAGCAACCTCTTAAGTTGCTACCAGCCACAGCCAGAAGAGGATCTGAATGTGACTTGTTTGGCCTTATCAGTGCCCTCTCACACATGGGTGCCTCAAGGTCTGAAAAAGCTATCAAAAGGGACCATAGCCTTCAGACTGAGAAATCCCACTCCAAAGCAGTGGTACTGCTTGAATGAAAGATATGATTCGTGCGTGTTTTCAGCACCACACCCACAACCATGGAAATTCCCATTAGACTTTCCATCAGCGCTGGGATACCACAGATGTTAGCACTGGAGCACGCACAGAAGCAGCTGTAGTTCATACATGCTAACATGTGGGTAGTACGAGATCAAAAGGAAGCCTAGCCTTTAGTATTACATGGGGATTTAAATTTCATGTAAGCAGTGATTCATACTTGAGGGTCTTTTAATTTGAAAGCAATTTGTTTTTTGTTGTTAACCTTTTAGATTGATGGGTGCTCAAATAGCTGACAAGAATATTGGGAATTCACTGTAGCACAACAGCATGGCAAGTGCATTAGTCTATCTCCATGACAGGCTTATATATTTATTACACTAATTATGTGGGTGTAATAATTGCATTAGGAATGTCTCAATGATATTTTCCATGTATAAAATCACTACCTAGCACGTGGAAGCTGACAAAAGACTTCTCAGCTGATTGAAATCCACAAGTTTGCCGTAAACATAACATAATTTTTCTCACTCGGTACGAAAACCTGTGATTTTTTTTTCTTTATTGAGTTTCAGCTGCAGTAAATACAGCGAGTGTATTAAGTTCCAAATTTGAAATCATTGTTAATTCATCTTACCCCATTTATTCAGGATGCAAGGGGTGAGGGGAGAAGTCACTTCAGGGAGTGCCTGCAAGGCATGCTGCCTCTGAAAGCTATTCCTAGGGCATTGCTTCCAACAGTCCAGCTTCACGCCAGCACTGTGCCTGCAGTTAGAATGTAATCTCTTCATATATAGTATTTGTTTTTGTTTACAGGCTTCCTGTGGTCATATCAGTGTCACTTTGCTGCTCCTGGATATGAGGTTTGCCAAGAAAGGCTGTGTGGGATCTAGCAGTTGAATTCCAGGCTGCATACCACTTGATGCCCAAAGCATTTTAAAGCAAGTATCGTCTTTCTGGCTTGTAACAACCACAGCTAGTGGCTGTGGAAGTTTATCCCACCAGTATCAGTGCGCAGAAGAGACTATTGACTGGACATCAAAATTAAACTCTGTGCATCTTTGTATGCAGAAAGACTACTTGTCGATAAAGAGAGGGAGGCTTTGAATTCTACATTCTTCAAGAAAGTTTATGTGGAAGTAAATGAAACCTTTTAACCATTAATAGTTTATTTAATCAGTATTTTCTTTTGGAGCACTAGGCAATTGAAAGGGAAGGAAATAAGAATGATTTGGACATGACAAATGCCAGTGTGTGTCTCTGAGGACAGTTAGCTGATGGCTGAGGCTGTTAGGAGGAAGGGTTATTCTCGCTGTAGGGAGGTTTTACAGCGCTTCAGAGTACAGACTCTTTGCCAGCTATTTTAGTATTTAGACTTACTTTCAACTTCTGTCCTGTCTTTGTCCCTGTCTGTGCTGTATTAACAAGCACAAATGGAAGCCAGAAGCTGCGTGTTGGCCTTCCGTAGTTCAGCAGAGCTGCTGTGAAAAGGCTAGACATCTGAATGCTTCCAAAACAAGACCAATTATTGCATGAGACATTAGAATGCCAAATAATGTGTATACACAAATAATGTGTACACAAATAATGCAGCCCATTGCTATTTCTGCAGTCAGACAATATCACAGTAAGGGTCTTCCCCGCTTCAGGGCTGGACTAAGCAGTTGTGGAATGGCTTGCACTACAAAAAGCTCCTAGGGAAATGACATCAGAAATTGGCACCAATTAATCTAGAGTGTTGATTCCAAGAATAATATTTATCTGAAAAATACTGAATCAAATCATGCAGGTCTAACTGGGCCTACTATGAATAAATTAGACAGTTTATTTTTGTATGAGTCATTAATCATATTACAGTCATCACTGTGGTTATCTGAAAGTATTTTAATTTAATCAAAATACAGTTAAAACTCATTTAAACAAATTTGGCTTTAATTGTCCTGCCTCACACACAGATTAATCTTTTCTAGCATGGTGTGAAGAATTAGACACCAACATAGATATTTTTTCGTACATATCTGACTATGGATTTATGCATTTGTTGGTTTTGAGCATGCACTTTACAGCAGTTTGCTTCTATCCTTACTTTAGGATAAAAGAGAACAGTATGCCATGCTCTGTGGCTTCCGTGACAGTGTGCATAGCTCGTACAGGCCACCTGCTGTGGTGTAACGTAACTGCTGCAGTGCATTGCTTTCCTGGCATATGCATAACCTAACAGCTGGAGGGTGTGAGCCCTCTGGATTCATCAGGAAATGGCTTTTATGTGCACCTACTCAGTACATTTCAAGCCATTTGTAAAATAATGCTAACTCCTAGGTCACAGAGACCACACCATCACTGCTGTTTGCAGGGGCATGTGTGGTTTCACTTCTGAACTTCTGATCAGAGTGCGGTCAAGAACAAATTCAGACCCTAATGCACTGAGCTTTGTTCAGCCAGGATTTGAAAACCTCCAAGGACAGAGACCCCACAGCCTCTCTGACTCCTGCTACTGTGCTTAATTATTCCCACAGTCATTTTTTCTTCTTTCTGTCTATGCTGAACCACTCTAGTTGCAGGCAATGTCACTGTCTCTTGCCCTCCTAACAGGCACTGCTGGGAAGAGCCCATCCCCATCTCCTTGATCCTCGATCATCCGTAGGCAAGGGGATGTTGTCTGGTGCCCCGAAGCCTTCTCTGCTGCAGAAGAGCTGGACCTCATAGGGTTTGCAGAGCCCGGTTAAGGCATCATGGGTGCTGAGCAAAAGAGGGATCATTCCTGCCGCCCCCAGGGAGAGATACAGGGGAAAATCCTTGAGAGCAAGCCTAGGGCTGCTTTTGAACTGGCATGGGAAAAAACATGGGAGCCCAGAGGGCTGGCCAGCAGTGCTAGAGTGTGTGGAGAGCTTGTGGGACTGTCACACTGCCTCAAAGGCAGGCGTGAGGTTTTATTGAACTCTTGCTGAATGGATTTGGAGATGTGTCGTGGTTGGGGTGAACTGATGGTGCTCTGGGAAAATACAGCCAAGGTTGCAGTGACTGCTGGGAAACCAATGCTGAACACAAGATTAATGCTGCAGTAGCTCTCAGTGCCCTTCCCAGAGCCATCGGAGCTTCTTCGGCGGCCCTGCGTCGTTCGGGCCGTCGGGAGACCCAGGACGAGCGCTCAGAGCAGCAGAGGTGAGCGCGCTGGGGACATCTTGTCCCGGGCCCTGGGCCCTGGGCAGCTGGAAGGGTTTCCTCCTTGAGGGAGCTGCACAACTCTTGCAGCCGGCCCCGGCTCGGCCCATGCCCATGGCCTCTTGTCTGCCTTTTGCAGCGTGAGTCCTGCTGCTGCAGCGCCGGTGAGAGGGAGCGGCTCGTCATCGCCACTTCTCCCCAGCTCACCTCAGCAGGTGGAGAGCATGGCCACGGAGCTGGACGCCCGCTGTCCCATCTGTCTGGACAGCCGGGTGAACCCAGCTACGTGCTGCCATGCCTCCACCGCTTCTGCTTCGCCTGCATCCAGCGGTGGGCTGAGAGCAAGCCCGAGTGCCCCCTCTGCAAGCGCAGGGTGAGCTCCATCGTGCACTTGGTGCGGGCGGACAACAGCTTCAAGGAGCTCGTCATCCCACCACCTGCGGAGGCACCGCTCAGCGCCCACCTTAGACAGAGTGTTTTCATCCACTGTCAAGCTACAGCACTACAAGCAGAGGCTGCAAGCCTGCTGCCCAGGGCTCTTGTGGGTGGTCTCCAGTCCCACATCTTTGCATCCGTCTTCAGGGAGCACCCATCTTTATTTTAGCCCCTGCTACCTGGCCGCACCAGGAGCTGGGGCAGATGTTTGGGGATAATCACCAGGAAGCATCTGGGGTTGAGAGACTTGTGTTTAACTTGAGCTTCTTTGGTCTGTCTGAGGAGCACCACATGCAGCTGCTGCAGCCTTGTTGCAAAGGCACACAGCAGGTTTTGTTCGCCGGCTTATTACCATTGCCGTGGAGCAGTGCAATGAGAAGGCGCACCATGTGCTGCACAGCCATGCTGCTAGGAGACAGGAGGGCAGCTCTGCTGCTTCCCTGGAAGGGAATCCTGCCCCTGGAGTGGAGCCGTCCAGCAGCTTTGTTGTGTCCAGCACACGGGAGCTCCTCACCAGCTTCTCAAATGCCTTCCTGAGGATCCCAGCCATGTCCCCTCCACTTCCAGCCAGTGCAGTGAACCTACCCCTGTGAGGCCCTGTCGCAGGCAGAAGGACCAGCAGCAGAGCCTCATTACCACCCAGCAAGAGGCCACATCATCTACACTAGAAAGGTCCTCCAGAAGCTGGTGAAACAAGCTGGTCCACGGGGACCAGGAGGCTTTCCTTAGTAACCTAGAAGTAATGGGCACATAATAAAACAAAGGCATTAAAATTACCGTATCAGTATATGGCTGCCAAGGACAAAAGTGAAGATGAGTGCCATACAGCTCCACAGATCATCCCCTAGCCTTTAAAAATGGGTGCAACACTTGGCCATCTCTGGTCTTCGGTTCCTCCCCCCACGCTTCACAACCTTCCAAAGATGAATGGCCTCACAGTGATACCAGGCAGCCCACTCGGCACCATCAGACACGTTCCATCGGTGCCAAGGGATTTGTATGGCTTAAGTTTTGCTGTTGGAGCAAATAACGCCCTACCTTGGGTTCCCAGTTTAGCCATACCAGCCCTCTGATACATTCGTTTGTTCATTTGTTTTCCTGAGCATCAGGATGCCCTGTTCTTGTTGGAGAAGATCCAAGTCATGATAGTCCTTTTGATCTTTATCTTCAGAGCTGGCTCCCCTAGAGCTGTTCCACAGCTACTCTTACCTGAAAAAGCCAAAGCTGTCCTTCCTGAGGCCCAGGGAGTGTTTTGCTACTCTTGCAACTCACCTTCCTCACTCTCTACAGGATCTTGAATTCCTCTGTACTAGGGTTACTACAGTCAAAGCTGCTGTTGACAATCACAAGTCTGACCAGTTCCTCCATGCTCATGAGTTACAGATCCAAGATGGCATCACCCCAGGTTGGTGGATCCAGCGTCTGTCACCCCTACTCTCTCCAAAAACACCCTGATAGATTTTCTGTTGCTGCAGATGCCAGGCAGGTTGAAGATTGCCAGGAGAACTAATGTCAGTGACTGGAGAGCAAGTCATGCCAGCAATATTGTACTTCTGTGTCCAGCACAGGTGTTCTAGCTCAAACTTAGCAACGGGGAATATAAGAAGGCAGTACCTGGAGAACCTTTCTCAGGGGTCAACAGGGGTCAAACATACTCCCTTAAAACATCAGAAAACAAAGTAAGGTGGGGTGTTCTAAGTTTGGTTCATTGGTTGGATTTTGGTTTGTACAGTTTGTCATTATTGTTCAAGCAATAAAATACGTTCAGTCAGAAACTCTCTTCCTGTCTTACACATGAAGGTATTCTGATCAATTTAAACCCACTGGCTGTTGGGCTAGCGTGGCCTTCCAGCATTTCGGCATTCATACAGTATTCATGAACAGTGAGTACATGTAAATACACTAAGTACTTAAAGAGATGTAAGCATACCACTTCTCTTGCCTTTCATTTTGTGATTCCAAATATGCTGAACTTTTGTAGTTTTGCCTTCATTCCTCTGATTAGTTGTCCTTTCCCACACCTGCTCAAAATTGATTTAATCTTCCTTGGACTTGAACTGTACCTCACACAAAACCTCATTCACAATTCATGCCTTTTGGTGGTTTCCGCTGGGCAGCTGAGCTCCACCACAACTGCTCTCTCACTCCCCCTTCTCAGAGGGAACAGGGGAGAAAATATGATGAAAAGGACTCAGGGGTTGAGATAACTCAGAGATCTCAGAGCTCTGACACACAGAGATCACTCAGCAGTTATTGTCATGGGCAAAACAGACTCAGCACAGGGAGACTGAAGAAATTCATTATGTATTACTAACAATCGAGAGAAGTGAGAAACAAACTAAAAACACCTGCCTAACACCCACCCTCTTCTTCCTCCTCCCCCCTAAGCAGTGCGGGTGAATGGGGGCTGTGGTCAGTCCCTGACTCTTTGCCTCCTCTGCGCCTTCATGGTCCCTCCCTGCCCCTGCTCCCCGTGGGGTCCCTCCTTCCCCAACAGAGACTGGGGGGCTGCCCACAGGCAGCAACTCTCCAAGCACTGCTCCCACACGGCTCCGTCCCACGGGGTCCATCCATCCATCCCCCAGGAGCAAACTGCTCCAGCACGGGTCCCCACGGGTGGGGGCAGCTCCCCCCAGACCCCCTGCTCCTGCGGGGGCTCCTCTCCACGGGCTGCAGCTCCGGCCCGGGGCCTGCTCCTGCGGGGCTCTCCATGGGCCGCAGCCTCCTCCAGGCCACATCCACCTGCTCCAGCGGGGGCTCCTCCACCCATGGGGGGGCTGCAGCGTGGAGATCTGCTCCATGGGGGACCCATGGGCTGCAGGGGGACAGCCTGCTCCACCAGGGGCCTCTCCCTGCACAGCCCGCAGGGGAACTGCTGCTGCCTGCCTGCCTGCAGCACCTCCTGCCCTCCTGCGGCCCTTCTCTTGGGAGCTGCAGGGCTGCTTCTCTCACGCTTTCACAATCCTCTCTCCTAGCTGCTGTTGCACAGCAGTATTTTCCCCCCTTCCTTAAATCTGCTCCCCGAAGCCCACCCAGCAGCACTCCCTGCCTCGGCTCTGGCCAGCAGCAGCTCCTTTTTGGAGCCATCTGGAGCTGGCTCTGCTCTGATGCTGACAAGATGGGGCTGCATTCATTTCCAAACTGGCTGTCATAAAGGCCTTCACCTTTGCATTACATTGAGGCAGCGGTGATCTCAGCCTTGTTGTAGTTCTCTGCGTAATGTAGCTCCCAAAAGAGATCCCAAGGTCCAGAACAGACATGGAAATAACTGGGGGGTTGTAAGGAAAACAATTGTATTCCATCCTACAGCAACACCAGAGCTGTCTGGAGAGTTTAGGAGTCATCTGAATTTGGTTATTTGTGTTTGATCTGAACTAAGGAAGAAAGGACCAGTTACTAGAAAAGAATGCATGCCTGACAATGATACAACCAGATGGGAGGCTGTTTGATCTGGGTCTGTGGGTTTTGGATCTGTATGCTGTTGAGGAGCTTGTTGGAATTCTGATTACAGAATAAAGAACCTCCAGAAAGTGCAGGACGCCAGTGCTGGATGGAGAGCACGGCTCACACTTTGACGCTTCCTGGGACTGCCTAGCACATTAACAGGTCTCGGCCCCAAATGGCTGTGCTTCAAAAAGGTTTCCCTCTCTCAAGCATTTGCTGCTCTGCACTTCCTTTTCTTTCACTGGAGAGTCAGATCAATTGGTTGCTTTGCACTTGGACATGTTCCTTGGAAAGCTGCTTAAACTCTCTTCAAACCCTGGACTACCTGGGAATTGATTGCTTCCTCTAACTGGCACTGATGCTGTAGCTGGATCCCTCGAAATCCCATTTGACTGCTTCTGCTTCCTGAGCAGGTGACAGAAACTTTCACAACCAGAGAGCAGAGAAGAAGGAGTTGGACTTCTGCATAGGGGAAATATTTGGAAGTTTTGAAGATGTTTCCCCTGCTCAGCTGCCAACCCTACGTTAACCAATCACCTGATCTTTTGCATTCCAGTGTGAGGAAGGTTTTAGCAATTCGTGTCAATAGAGAGCTTGAAGGGAAATGCGTTCCGTTTCATACATTGTAAACTTTGATTCTGCCCTATTGGAAGACTGAGCATTTATAACACCAGCAAAAGTCTCAAATCAGTTAGGAAGGAAAGTTAGTTCTGAAAACTCAGTCACCTCTGTGCATGCCAAACCCTTAATGGCACTGTGCAAAACGCAGATTGCAGTGATGAATCGCGTTGTGGAATGAATGGCAACATACATATTTGGCTCCAGATCCAAAATGTCACTTATTTGGCCATTTTATTTAGGGTAGCACTCCCATCCCCTCCCATTCCCTCCCTGGCCCATTCTTTACTTCCCACCAATACCACCCCTCCCTCCCCTCCCCTCCCCTCCCCTCCCCTCCCCTCCCTCCCCTCCCCTCCCTCCCCTAAACTCCTCCCCTAAACTCCCCTCCCCTAAACTCCCCTCCCTAAACTCCCTCCCCTAAACTCCCTCCCTAAACTCCCCTAAACTCCCTCCCCCCCTAAACTCCCCTAAACTCCCCTCCTCCCCTAAACTCCCTAAACTCCCCTCCTCCCCTAAACTCCCCTCCCCTAAACTCCCCTAAACTCCCCTCCCCTAAACTCCCCTCCCCTCCCTAAACTCCCTAAACTCCCCTCCCCTCCCCTAAACTCCCCAAACTCCTAAACTCCCCTCCCCTAAACTCCCTCCCCTAAACTCCCCTCCCTAACTCCCCTCCCCTCCCCTAAACTCCCCTAAACTCCCCTCCTCCCTCCCCTAAACTCCCCTCCCTCCCCTAAACTCCCCTCCCCTAAACTCCCCTAAACTCCCCTCCC